CCCCAAAACCCCAAAACCCCAAAACCCCAAAACCCCAAAACCCCTGGGGATTATTAAGAGATTGAAATAATTATGAAAGAAATTTTTCATAATTCTCCTTTAATGGTTCTATTATTTCTTCCTTCTAGTTGACCTTGATATTGAGTATCTGGTTGCTTTGTTCCCGGTGGAGATCCTCTTCTCAAAGAATTTCTCCTCTGGTTCTGGGGAGAATTGCATTTCATGTTTGATAAGTTTATCTGAAGACATGATCATCTCCTTTCGATTCCTGGTGGTCATGAACCCAGCAGTTTGGGGTTTGTTTTTCATCTCAGTTTTGATATCCACAATATTGAGTTTCTGTATTGTTTGTTCTATAGATTCTTCTATTTTCTTTAGTTTGAGGTCAATTTCTTTTTCCTTCTTGGGTGATTCTTCCTCTTCTTTAATACCTTTCTTCTTAAATTTAGGGAAAAGCTTGCTCCATGGTAAGTTAATACCTGCTCCTGCATAGGTATTAGCAGATTCAACCCCTCAGGAGGCACATGAGGTATTAGGTATCTTAATTTTCGAAAATACAGTTCCTTCTTCATTCTCGATATTCTTCTTTATTTTATCTAGCTTCATAATGCAGCTGTAAATTGCCCCGATATGTCTTTCAAGATGATTAGTTTGCTTCTTTGTTTTAGTGTCAAATTTCTTTTGGAATTCCTCTTTGAAATCATCAAATTTGTCAAGAATCTCAAATTCCTTATTCTCAAGATCCCTTGGAGTGACCTTCCTATTGACACTGGCTATGACTTCATTGATTCTATTCTGAGTCTTGGCATCGAGTTTCTCAAAGTCAACTACTAGTGCCTGGCACTTCTTTTCTAAATATCTAAGTCTTTCTTGATCGATTTCAGCTTTTTTGATAGGGACACCATCTGTAGGAGCCTTGAGGATGCCTTCCATTTTGTTCTCAAAGAGGTTAAACCGTGAGATCAGCTCCTTTATCTTTTTGAAGTGATCAAATCCCTTGTTCTCTTGCAAGTTTATTCTCTTAATGAGGTTGTCAACAATATTATCTGAGATTTCATTAAATTTTTTCTGAGCTTTCATGTCCTGAGATTTCAATATATTCTTCAAGTCATCAAGCTGGGTCTTAAATTGCTCCCCTTTGAATACATCTAGCTTATATTTCTCAATACTGGTGATGTCTTCGCGCATAAGTTTTTCAATGGTTTTAATTTCAATTTGGAAGTGGGTCATTTTGTCTTCAAAACTTCTGATTTTTGTTTCAAAATCAATAATTTTCTCATGGTCAGCATTTGACATGCGAAGTTCTCCAACGTTGACACCCTGTTTAGGGATATTCTTTGCCATCCGATGAATTTTGGATTCAAGTTCCTTTTTCATAGAGATCATTTTATCGTTAAAATCTATTTCTCTCAGCTTAACCATTGAGTTATTTTGAAAGTCCTCCATTATCGAGATATTAGACTTAAGATGCTCCATAGAGTCTTCTAGTTCTTTATTCATTTGAGATTGGTCAGTTTTTCTAACATAATATTCCTTCATCTCCTTCCTAATGTGTTGGCATATTTTCTCAAAAGCATCAAGGTCAATGCTAGTTATTCCTTGTTTAGTACCAATACCTGATTTCTTAAATGAGTCTATCAAAAATTGGATCCTTGTGTCTAGTGCAGACATATTATCTTCACACAAAGTGACTCTCTTCTCATTGGTGAATACTTTGTCTTCAGTTGATTTAGAAATTTTCTTAACAGTTTTGTCCAACACACTGATTTTATTTATATAACTGCACTATTTCATCATCAATTTGTTCTTCCTTATTTGAGGTATTGTTATATTTTGCTTCTAAATCACTGTATTGTTCTTGTAGATGGGACAGTTGAAAAGAATTTCTTTTTGTTTCATGGAATAAATGTTGGAGACATTTCTCTAGAGTAGAGAAATCAAATTTAATGCAACCTTGATATTCAAAGTCTGAATCAATGAACTTTGAGTCTTCTTTAACTTCAGTGTCGGACATAATTGTATTTTTTCTTATAATTTCAATTATTTTTATTTTCTAAGGGGTTTTGGGGTTTTGGGGTTTTGGGGTTTTGGGG